CTTCATAATAGCGACTATTTCCGCTTAGCTTAGCATCCGCCCCGTTAGCTTACGTTTCAGTGACGTAGAGCGGCCCCGCAGCACAGTCAGACTATGGACCGTTGTACGGTCCCTCAAAATCACAGCTAGGTTTCGCATTTTTACTTAATTCGCACGAGATGTGACGTTAAAATGATAAAAAGGGATATCATGAAGGTGTTAAATATGGAGGGCGGCACTTCAGGTTGTCGCAAAACTTCCGCTATACCGCGAAAAAATAAACTAAAAGACATTATAAAATAATTAAACATGCGAAATGTTTGAAATTGAGATAAGCACATTTGCGAACGATCGCCGATAGCTTTGTTTACCTAGACGAGATCGTACACGGCATATTATTGGCTAATACAATGCGTACTCGGTGTGTTATTGGCTAATTGAGCATGCTCCTCTGCTCCTCGCGCTGATTGGCTCATGGATCGTAGCCTCTCTCAGCATCTGCCCTTGTCTGTCGTAATACAGTATAGGGAGGGTTGATAACGGGGGAGTAAATATATACGTAAATAATAATAGCTATCTCTACCTCTAATTTGCGTTTTTTCAGATTTCGCACTGGGTCTTGGAACGCAATAAAAGTATCTTAGTAACTTTTATCTAAGGTAATTTCTTTACTTCTCGAGTGGATTTTGTTACTTGGATACTGTTACTTTTACATGAGAAAAAATTAAGGAAATTAAGGATACTTTTACTTAATTACATTTCTTTAGTACTTTTTCGACCTCTGCAGATTAGTTAGGGTAGGTTTTGGTTATGGTCGCTTAATTTTAGGATTAGGATTAGGGTTAGGATTAGGCCTATAAAACTGTAATTTCTTCATTTCCAGGTAGCTGACACTGATCAGTTTAACAGCTGCTTCTACTTAGTGCTAATCATAACACACACACACACACACACACACACACAGCCTTGACCTCCCCTGTCGTCAGACTGAAAACACAGACTGGACATTCCACTTGGTCTGATTTCAGAGATTATTCCTGCAAGGTTTCGTCAAATTCACTAAAACAAACACGGTCGGAGTTTTCTAACATCCATCAGATGATTTTTTTTTCCCCACTGTGGCAACCAGAGTTTGAAACCCGACGCCAGACAAGTGATTGCCCAATCAGACGTCAGTTTACCCTCCTCCCATTGTAGTTGTATTTCTGTTTATGAGTTTAAATAAGATGACGTGTCATAGAAAATGACAGGTGATAAGAATAAACATACTGTAGAGATATTAGATATTAGTCTGAGAGATTTTCCCACTTTTCAGTTCAAATGTGTTTGAAATTAAATTTTTTAAAAAACATCTTTGTGTCTAATTGGTTTTGAGAGATTGACCTTTCACCTACTTAATATCACTGACCGCTGCCAAATATGGAAATTCCACCAAAAAACAAAACATTCCTTCCAGTCACTCTATTATGGACCTGGAGAAATGGTTTACATCCTGATCTTCACACTGTCTTTTACATTTGACAAATCAAAAATATCTGCATGTAAAAATGATGATGCATGTACAAATACACACGTGGACAAAATTGTTGGTACCCCTCAGTTAAAGAAGGGAAAACCCACAATTCTCACTGAAATCACTTGAAACTTACAAAAGTAACAATAAATAAAAATTTATTGAAAATTAAATAATCAAAATTAGCCATTACTTTTGAATTGTTGATTAACATAATTATTTAAAAAAAACAAACTAATGAAACAGGCCTGGACAAAAATGATGGTACCTCTATAAAAGATTGAAAACTATTTGACCAGAGTGACATGATTAACTCAGGTGTGTCCTTCAATTGACATCACAGGTGTTTCCAAACTCATAATCAGTCAGTCTGCCTATTTAAAGGTAGACAAGTAGTCACTCTGCTGTTTGGTGAAAAGGTGTGTACCACACTGAACATGGACAACAGAAAGCGAAGGAGAGAATTGTCCCAGGACATACGAAAAAAAATTATAGACAAACATCTTAAAGGTAAAGGCTATAAGACCATCTCTAAACAGCTTGAAGTTCCTGTGACAACAGTGCCTCATATTATTCAGAAGTTCAAGACCCAGGGGACAGTAGCCAACCTCCCTGGACGTGGCCGCAAGAGGAAAATTGATGACAAATTGAAGAGACGGATCGTTCGAATTGTATCCAAAGAGCCCAGAACAACCTCCAAAGAAATTAAAGGTGAACTCCAAGGCCAAGGTACATCAGTGTCAGATCGCACCATTCGTCGTTGTTTGAGCCAAAGTGGACTTCATGGGAGACGACCAAGGAGGACACCACTGCTGAAAAAAAATCATAAAAAAGCGAGACGGGAATTTGCAAAAATGCATGT